ATAGATAACGTCTTCACCACTCGTCGTAATTGCGCATTACGCGATATCCCTGAGGACGTTCCGATCAGTCTGACCTGTCGTTACAGCCCATTCTTATGGGAGGTGCTCAGAAGAAATATCAAAAGGCGAACACGATAACTTGCGATAATTTCCCCTATTACGATATCACGGTTTATCGGTAAATTAATTGTTTCGTAATGTCCTATAAACAATTATTGGCAAATAGTCTAGGTTTTACAGCAGTGACACAACCGTCCTCGTTATGCTGCACGGTTAATCAGTGAGAAATTAATTCTTGCCACGATTAATTTTGCCTCGTTTAATACAACTTCATATGCATCCAATTCCATCTTCTTAACATAGAAAAACACTCGCTTTATATTTAAAATATGCAAAGTTGAACTTTTTTTGGGAATTTGTTTTAAGTTTTTTAATGTCTGCATTATATGTTTTGCATTTATTTTTACTAATTAAAAACTTACTTCTTTTTCTGACAAGCTATTTTGTCTACACGATTTATTTTCTACAAATGCATTTATTCAATGCAAAAATTGAAAACCGATCAACTGTAGCATGTAAGCATGATCGATGCACTCTCTAGGAAGTAGCGAGGTTGTCGCGGCACCACCAACGTTTATCAGGTTATCAGGTAAACGTCGAAACAAGGTTTAGGATACGCAAGTAATTTTGGAGATTATGGGAATTTGTGATCTTTTTCAAAGAAAATGATTGCAATATAATGGTCGAACGGATTAGAGGCGGACGTATAAAGTGATTAAAGCATGGGAGCGAGGGCGCATCCCTGTGGGACACCTGCTATAATATATTGTGTCCCCGAGTACTCATCGTCAACAAGACAAGAGGATCTTTAGCGTCCGCACCTGGCCTTTGGACTTATCGGACGTTTTGACTCCAAAGATGAGAGCTGACGCACTTCTGCATACGACGGAATGGTGTTACCGCCGCAGCATTGGTGTAGAGGTGTCCCCCTAAGGGCCGAGACAACCTCGCTCTCCGCTTGTCCACTCCGAATGGTCGGGCCCGCATTGTGCATCGGGTCGTATGCCGCACGCGAGGGGCTAACAGACCGAAATACATCGCCCTGTCCCCCCCCGCGTACTCCTTAGATAGAGAAGGCCACTAGAAACTTCCGGGAACACCCCGGCAGCGGTTTAGTTTAAAGTAGAATTGCTAACCACACCCTAGATGAGCACCGCCTACGGTAAAGTCTCTAATCGAGCTCAGCCTACACCTGTCACGCGCATTCGAGGGACGCCATAGGCTCAGCCTAGGTGGTCCGATCCTTCGCTTCCCCAAGGGTACCACGCCGGTCTTACGCGCAACAATGCAAAGCATACTCGAGTCAGAGACACCGCCTCACTACCCGCTTCCATCCGCTTACTTACGCATTCGAGGGACTGTAGCATGATCAACGCGTCCTCAACGCTTACACACTGCCGTCCGGTCGCAACGTCTCCCGTGAGGCCGGGGGGTTTTACGCTGGCCATACGCAAGCTTCACGAAGGTCTCAGATAGATAGATAGCCTAAATCCAAGGATGTACCTTATGTATAGCGGTTATTGACCCACGATACCGTATGGATCAGATGAGAGGGTCGAAATCCTCAGTATCGCTTCAGAGACTAGCAGGCCTGAGCACTACATGAGCAATGAGAGCGACCACCACTGCGGCCTGAAATTCCTGAATCAACCATTTCTACAGATCTTCGACAGGGAAGACTAGAGCTATAAATCACAGAGCGCTAGATATTTGTAGTGATTGCTTAATAGATCTAATTTCAATAGATAATATCAGTAAAGGCAAGTCTGCCACGGTTTTTAAAAATGACAGGCTCCGATTTGGCAATATAACAGTCAAATTACATTTTTCACAATATCTTCGTGGGCATATGTATGGACTTGGAGCAGAAGAAATAATAGGAGGGCTAAGCGTCGAACGACCCATTGGGTGTCGCGTACGAGGTATCAGAACAACTTTACAATTTTTTTCATATTAATCTCAATTAAAATTCCATGGGCTATGCCAAGATTCGAACCGGCAACCTCTAGCATGACGAGTCGGACGCTCTAACCATTCGTCCACAGCGGTCCCCCGTTGCAAGATTATCCAGGGTGTCCTATTCAGACCGGCTAAATTTCTCTTGAACCAATGAGGCTATACAAAAATACGTGTTTAAGATTTTTTAGTCTAGTTTCAAATTTTTCCTTGTTTTAAGAAAAATTATACAGGGTACATCAGGCCGAGTTCAATTTCAAAATTTTAAATACGACCGTGTACATCATTCTAAAGGATTTTTTGCTGAAAATAATGGTGCAATCGGATTTTAATTTGGTCAAAAAAATGAGCGATAGAGTAATAGATAAGTGCCAAATCAAATGGCTTATGTTGAAATACATTACATTATTTCATAAAGTCATTTGTGAATTAGTAAGGAGGATGATTTAGAATTTCTGTTAAGCCTCTTTTGAATTGAATCTTACCCCTTTTCTAAAATACGTGTTAATGTTTGTTCCACATTGAATAGGAATAAAAACAAGATGAAATTTAGTCAAGTTTCAAATTTTTACCTTTTTTTAAGAAAAATTATACAGGGTACATTAGGCCGAGTTCACATTCAAAATTTTAAATACGATCCTGCACATACTGACACATCATTTTGGATGAATTTTTACGCTGTAAACAATGGTGCTATCGGATTTTAATTTGGTCAATAAATGAGCGATAGAGTCAGGGGAGATGGATTGTCAAGCATTTTCTATCCTTTGCCGCAGTTGTTCAACTGAGGTTGCTGGGTTATGATTGTCGTACACCGTTTTTTAAATGGCCCCACAGAAAATAGTCAAGTGGAGTTAAATTGGTCGACCGAGGAGGCCAACAGATCGGGCCATGAGGTCTGCCATCTATCCCGGAAGTAACGATTCAAATAATGTCTCGCCTGCAAAGAATTGTGTGCGGTGCAACCATCAAACTGGAGAATCGTTCATTGTCTTTGTTGCAGAGGAACATCATCTAATTGTTGGTAAAATTCCCTCAAAATTTGAGGAACTGAGCGCCATTTAAATTATTTTTGTAGAAATAAAGCCCAATTAATTTATTTCCGGGAAAACTACGCCAAAGTTGATACTGTGGACCACCTGATACCTGACCGTACAAGAGTACGAAATTCTTGGATTTCCCTCTGCCCAATTTCGAAAATACTAACGGTTTAGAATGCTATTAGAGGTGAACTTGGATTCATCCATACAGTCCATTGGATGTATGGAAGAACGTTTAATTCAGCTTCCCAAATCGACATTTGTGCAGAAACGTTAGACGTCTATCATTATCAGTCTCGACGGCCCTGGACAAGATGAGAGCGATACGGCTTAAAATTCTAAGTCCGGACTACATCTCTAATTTTATTTTTTGAAAAACCTAAAACCCTTCCAACATTCGGAGAGAGGAACATAATATTAATAACATAATATAAAATATTCAGCTCCTCGTCGAAATTACGCTACCAATTTTTTTTTACCACAACTTTGTCATTTTTTGACCAATTTAAAATCCGATTGCTTTCAGCGAAAAAAAATCTTTTAAAATGATGTGTCAGGATGTACAGGGTCGTATTTCAAATTTTGAAGTTGAACTAGACCAGAGATATCCTGCAAAATTTTTCTCCAAAAAAAGTAAATATTTGAAGCTAGACTAAAATATATTAAAAACGTTTTTGGTAGCGACATTTTTTCAGAGAATTTCAGCCGGACCATCCAAAAATGACACCTTATATATTCAACCACAAGGTGATTCGTTTTAAAAATTATTTTGTTAAGCTTTTTATATTTTCCCATTCATTTTGTTTAAATAAAGGTTTTATTGTATATTTTTAATTATAGGTTATGAGACTTATAAGATGTAAGGTGAACAAGTGAAGCATGAAAATCTATTTTAGAACTAGATCGATAATTATAACAGTCAACAGATTGTTGAATGACCTTTAGAACATAAAACCAATCCATTTATAAAAAAATAATATCTCTTCTTCACAACTGTTCCAATAAAACTATTCTTCAACAGTTACCTATCACCTGGTCTGCCTATCCTCGTTGATTTTTGTTAGTCCAGTTGCGATCAGCACTTCGGAGTGGAGAATCACACCGAAGATGCCAAAAAGCATCTGAACTAATAAAAATGAGCGAGGACAGGCGGACCAAGATGAGAGGTAAATATTAAAAAATAGGTTTGATTGATAGGCAGGTCACAGGATCAAATCTCACTATGTTCCAATAAATGCTTGAAAAAAAATGTTTGTGATTTTAATCAATAGACTACGAATTATCAGACACGTGGGAAAGGAATTTTTAAATATAAAACCTTTATCAATCTGCTATAAAACGTATGATAGCAGGTTGATTTTTTGTTACATTCGCCTTGAGGCGATGGGATTGTAGGAAAGGAGGATGATACACAGTCTATGACGTTTTTCTTCTCCCACCAGTTTGAATTGGGAATTTGTGATTATGTAAAAGTTGACAATTAAAATGGCCTCAACCGTGGAATTTCTTATCAAATACCCTCGACCTTGCCTGCGCAGGGAAGATCCGCGAAATGGAAAACATTCGATTTGAAGATTACGCCTTTTCTCTCTCGCTCTCTCTCTCTCTCTTCTCTCTCTCTTTCTCTCTCCTTTTATTTATCTCTCTCTCTTTCCAATTGTAACATACGTTTCTGCAATTGCGTCCTTTTTCCTCTGGCCTTGTTTACCTCGAACTGACAATTTAATAGCTTTCAACAACTTTAGATGGATGTATTTTACACCAAGTTCATTTTAAATTATGTTTAATAATAAAATCGTCAAATTTATGACAAAAAATAAAATAAACGAATAATCGTCCTTTAATAAAGAAAACAATAAGTTTTTTTCAAATTTAAGTAAAACATCATAAACAATTAAACATAAATCAGAGAAAAAGGGTTTATTCAACATTATTTACAAAAACTAACGTTCATTTCATTAAAGTAAATATGAAACACTGTTTTTATTAATTATTGTAACTTTTATATTGTTCATACCTGGACTTTGCACCATTTAAGATGTCTTGAAGACAAATTTCGTCTGGAAAAAAGCAAGTAAGTGTCAAAGAATTGTATTAACTGTTGTTATATTTATGTTAAATCAAACCATTGGCAATTCGAAATTCACTAAATCGAATAATTTTGTCGTTTACTTTGAATATAGAGTACCACAGTTAAACAGTTTAATGGGTTTGAACGTTTATGTTGAGAACAAATAATGAGATTAAATTATTCAGAAATCGTGAGATGCGTCTAGTGTGATGTAGGTTTCAGAAAAAACATTTTCTTTATCGTGCCAACGTTTCGATCTTTATTGAGATCATCTTCAGGGCTCAAAGTGTTTGTCTTCTGTGTAATTGTGCCATTCTTGCGTGTCTTGTTAAGAGTGCCCAATGAGATTAAAAGTAAATGGGGGAGGAACCTCATCTGAAACAGATGTACTTCTATCTTAAAGTAGATTATAATGATTTTTTTGTGATACCAAATAAATGAAAAATCTTAGGCCCTGATAGTATAAGCTTGTCATGCCTTGGTTCCTTATAGAGAGCGTGTAAGTATGACTTCGGATTTAAGAATGGTGCTCGGGCAAAGTAGGGAGTTCCCCTGTTCCGCTTTGTAGAGGACGTGGTATTTTATGTATATATATTGAATACTTTTTGTTTTGTAGTTCTGTGTTTTGTCTGAGTTACGTGCAATTATTAAAGTTAGAGGTGAGGAGCTGGTTGGTGAAATATAGCGCATCACCTTTCCAGCAATGTGTGTATTACGGCTTGGAATATTTATAACAGTATTCCATCCATGTTTAGGGCTCTTTTCCATCTTCGGTGATGGTTTTGTGTTATTTTCCTAACAAGATACGGGTCGCTGATTTCAAGAAATATTTCTTGATGTTTCTAAATCGAAAATAATTATTAGACCTATGTCCTAGAGTTGGAACAAGGGCCTCCTGATAAAAATGTTTCAAGTAATTTATACATTCTTTTAAAATGCAATTTTCTGTCATTTTTCATGTTTATGTATTTCAAGATTATTATATTAATTATATTATTTTTAGGTAAGATAAGAAAATAATATGCAAGTTTGTATTGGATGAGATTGGATGTATAAAATTACAAAAAGAAAACACGCTTTGAGAAAATTTGGCCAAAAAATTGATTCATTGCACCCTTTAAAGCCCTTAAATACGATTTTTTGTAGCAAAAAAAGATATTTCGGATTCGCCTAGACCAATTATTTTTCTATCCGATATCCGGCGTTCCACTTAAAAATTCACAACACGCATAAAGATTAAATTGGACTTTTTCAAAAACAAACTGAACTTTTTCCAAGTCGAATCGAACTTCTTGCTAGTCAAATTGAATTTTTTAAAGACCAAGCCAAACTTTTTCTGATTCCAACTGAACACTTGAACTTTTTTTTCAAATAAAGAGATATCTTTAAAGAATAAATCGAACATTTTCCAATTTAAATTTAACTTTTTGCAAATCGAATTTAAGTTTGTCCAAATCATATTGAAATTTTTCCACGTCAAATTGAAGTTTTTTCAAGTCAAATTGAACTTTTTAATGATCAAATCGAACTTTACCAAACCAGATATTACATTTTTACAAGTTTGTCCACATAAAATTGAATTTTTTCAGACCCAATTGAACACTTTATGTGATCAAATTGAACTGTTTCTAGACCAACCTGAGCTTCTTTTCCACCAAACTGTACGTTTCAAAATCAAATTAATTTTTAGGTTAAATTGAGATTTTTTCTGAACACACACTTCTGATCAAATTTATATTTTTCAAATCAAATTGAACACACTCTCCTGATCAAATTGATACTTTTCAAATCATATTTAATATTTTAAGGATCAAATCGGATTTTTTCCTTTCAAATCAAATTGTACACACTCCCCTGATCAAATTGATGCTTTTCAAATCAAATTTAATATTTTAAGGATCACATCGGATTTTTTCCTTTCAAATCAAACTGAACATACCCTTCTGATCAAATTTATATTTTTCAAATCAAATTGAATACACTCTCCTGAGCAAATTGATGCTTTTCAAATCAAATTTAATATTTTAAGGATTAAATCGGATTTTTTCCTTTCAAATCAAATTGAACACACTCTTCTGATCAAATTTATATTTTTCAAATCAAATTGATCACACTCTCCTGATCAAATTGATGCTTTTCAAATCAAATTTAATATTTTAAGGATCAAATCGGATTTTTTCCTTTCAAAACAAACTGAACACACTCTTCCGATCAAATTTATATTTTTCAAATGAAATTACATGTTTTCCATGTCAAATTAAATTGTATTGCAATCAAATCGACTTCTCCAAATCAAACCGAACATTTTTCACAACAACTGATGTTTTTCCATGTCAGATTGAATTTTTTAAGACCATTGAATTAAATTGAATCCAGCTTTAAATGTGGATGAAATACAGGGAAGATGGATGTGGACGCGTTGAAAGGAATGAATTTATTTGGATCTCTTATAGAGATTTTAAGACAGAAATCATTTTCAAAATTTCGCTTCCTTGGAAAGATGGACGAGGGATAGGGAGAAAAAAATAAACGGTAGTATTCGAACGTGGAAATTATCGATTCGCAATTGCCTAATGGAGGAAACTGCGCTAACAAGAATAAGAATTGGATATAGTCGACTGACATGGCTGAACCTACCTCCCCCACATAATCGGTCAACTATCCTGCAGATTTTTATAGAGTGAAAGTGATATCCCTTCCCCGGTATGAGAGTGACTTCGTGAGTGATGAAGTCACGAGAGTGGAGAGAAAATTGTTAAAATTCTCAAAGGCCAAAGGAGATAGAGGATAGGAATACCAGGTTGACTGCAACCAAATTTTTTTCTGTTTCGTAGTCCTTACTGTAACAAAATATATAAACAAATTTCTACATCATTACATTTTAACTTTTTTTAACCAAATTACACGTACCTAGCACACCTCAAAAGTAAATTTCACAAATGAAATTAAATATTAAAATGGCAATGGGATATTTTTATAAGTCCGCCATGTCTTTGATTTCGTCATAACACGGTTTTATGGGCAGCACGTGCTCTTCCTCCAATATTGGAGGAGGAAATTTGTCGACGAGGCGAGGATCGAATAGACCTGACGTTTAAAAATGTGTCCCTGACTTTGATTGAAGGGCAAATTGCACCATGTGCGATATCTGTCAATGTCAAGTGCATGACCTCGCCTCTAATTCATACCTAATTCGGTAAACAAGCTCTGCCCGGCTCAAGGTTTGCCCCCCCCCCGGGTTGCCGCATTGAAATTGTCATCTTTGAACAATTTAGCTTCAAGTATTCCGCTTGTCATTGTCACGTAGGCAGATGCATTTTGTCGATGCCGGAACGAATGGGTCGGCTCGATTCAAGAAATCACAGCCTTTTGGCAGGTTTAGTACAATTTGAAATGCGTCTGTGACTTTCATTGAAGTGGATCAAATTATTAGACCCGTTGACAAAAGGGACAAATTTACACAAAAATCTGTTGTTTTTAGTTTAAAAAAATTCTGTCGAACTGTACAAAAGAAATCAAATAAGCTTTGATCCTGCCAAAACTTGATTGAAAAATAGTAATAATAAAATATATATTACGTCAATGTCACTAGTGGGATTCGAACCCACGATCTTCGACTAGATACGCCGCTACTCTACCACTTGAGCTATCGTGATTTCGATCCAATCGGACACTAACTTCCCATCTCAACCGCACCTTTTGAATTTTCCCTCCTTTTTGCCATTTTTCAATGGCTAGTGCCATTAACTTTTTTATCTCAACTAAAAACCTAAATTAATTGAAAGATTGGTCAAGCGGACCACGAAAACTAGTGAACTTACAAAAAATGTTAAAATATAGAAATATACAAAATATAAACGCAAAAATAAGAAAACAAACGAAAAACTACTTAAGTATTAAATATACGTAAATAACAAAATAGCTTAAAAGAATGTTTCATAAAATATACATCAAAAAGATTACGTTATATTAAATGTTTAAATTGTCACTGTAAAATAATATAACATATTTTAAAATATTATATAAATAATACTAGAAAACATTACATAAAGATATGTTGAGTAAGTAAAAATAACGTTATATATATATTATAATATTATATAAATAAATAGTTAGAAATAATATAAGTTAAACATGGAAATACACTGACAGACAAAAAATTCCACCCACTTGAAATAAAACTTGATTTGTATATATTTCTGTATGTTAATCAACTAATTAAGGTTTTTAGTTGAGATAAAAAAATCAGTGTCACGAGCGGGATTTTTTTTAATTATTTTTATTTTGCGAGGTTTCGCAATAGCAGAGGTTATATCAACCCTCGGGGTGCCGGTGTTTTTGAAAAAAGCCCATTTGTAAGTATGTCCCCCAGGACCTTTACCTTACAGTGATGAGCGCCGTGTCAACGCCTAAACCGTTGCGGCCACCGACGCCCCTCACGAGCGGGACCTCACGAGCGGGATTCGAACCCACGATCTTCGGCTAGATGCACCACTGCTCTACCACTTGAGCTATCGTGTCCTCGATCCACTCGGACACTAACTTCCCATTAGTCGCTCTGCTCCTCGCTGAAGATCGTGGGTTCGAATCCCGCTCGTGACACTGACTTTTTATCTCAACTAAAAACCTCAATTAATTGAAATATATTAATTACTCCAGTGGGCCATGAAAACTAGTGAATGTTAATAAACGTTTCACGTTTTTAACGTTCAATAATTGCGCCTTTGTCAAAAAAAGTAATTAAAAAATGTAAATTACTAAGGAAAATAAAAAACAAATAAAAAATAAAAACAGACGTACAGATAAAATTTGTTTATTACATTTTTAATTAATATTTCAATATCGTATATTTCCTTCTCTGGCCTTAACTAAGATTCGAAGAGCATTCGGCATACTTTCTACCAGTCTGGAAATGTTTCTTTGCTGGAGGTTAGCCCATTCTTCACGAAGAGTCCTTTCAAAGAGTCGTGGAGCCGACGAGGAAGTGATGGAAGTACTGATATTCGTCTTTTGAATCCCATAAATGTTCGATGGGGTTCAAGTCTGGAAAACGGGCTGGCTAGGCTAAGACCCTGTTGTTATACTGTTGAAGGTACGTTTAGACTATACGAGCTTCATGTGGACAAGCATCATCGTGCATTAGAATTTCATCCACATAGCGAGTGGCCGTCAAAGACCCTGCCCGAACAACAACCAACTCTGTGCGACTCTTCATTGAAATCCCCGCCCACACCATATTGAGCTACGTTAAAAAGGTTGGCTCTGGGAAAAATTACAGACTTCGGACCTTTCATTTCGTCTTTTCCACATTCTTTCACGCCCATCTGAAGATCGTAGGACAAATCTACACTCATCTGTAAAACTTGCAGCCGACCAATCGTCAAAGACCAATGGCTGTGTTCACGAGCCGTGCAACCCTGTGTATTCTGGTCAATTTTGGTCCTCTCATGGGGCGAAAAGACATCAGTCAGTACTGATTTAATCTTCTTCAAGCAGTGCATTCAGAAAGTTCGACACCTCGAACTTCCTGGAGCTGATGAACCGCTTGAACAACGGTAAGTTGCCGGTTTCGCAAAATTCTCAAAGTCAAAAAACGGTCATTCTGCGGTTCTGTTACCATAGTGCGCGCACAGAACCGGGCCTTCTATTGGTAGGCTCCGATGGCAATAGCCGCACACCTGATGGAACGTCCATTATCAATAAGTGCCACACCACGCGCAACTTCCTCAGCACTAAGTGACATTTTTAAGTTTACATATTGAAATTAAGAAAGCAAAGAAGAAAACTAAACAATTTAATCCCTTCAGTATTGAAATGAGACTATAAAAATTTTAAATTCCGTAAAATGTAAATATTGGAAAATCCTTTATCTTTCTTTTAGATTAAGGATTAAGTGTGTTTTCCTCTAATTAATATTCCCAATTTAAAACCTCATTTAAACAAATATTTATTGCTAAAAACAATGAGACTAATTAAGGGCGGAATTTTCTTTTTTGAGAAAATTAAAAAAATCAATCGGGTGGGATTTTTTGTCTGTCAGTTTGTATGCATATACCACATAAACGTACAGAAATGCAAGTTAAATAATTTATACGATCTTATTATATGATCTTATTCTGATGAAACCTGCTTGGTATAGAAATAATGAAACATAATTTAACTTAAAATATACATAATAATTCAAGATTTAACAAGTCTGCACACTTGTCTGTTGAATGAAGAAAAAGAAATAAAAACTGCAAGATTTGGAATGTTATTGGCTGAACGCATCATTCTGTCAATATGAGTACGTTTACTATAGTTAGTACAATGGGAGGAAATATGGAAAAGTCTATTATGCCTGGTCAAGTAGCTCGGTACAGAAAAGTTAATTTGGTAGTTAATTATTTTGAAAAGAGTATTTAAATCAGAGCGACTAAGTGTCTCTAGGGGAAGTAAATTAAAGTACTGTTCAAATTGTTTATAGTCAGTAACAGTTACTCCTATTTTGGCGTATGAGTTGACATCAGAAGAGTAACGGGATAAGAAACCCAGCATTTTTAAACTAGAGTATTTTATATGATCTTTGTGGACTATAAAATTTAATTTGTAGTCAGAAATAACGCCGAGGTCTTGAAAAGTAGTTTCAAAAAGAAGAGCACTTAGTATAAGGTAAGTAAAGATGTATTTAGTTTTAGTCCGGTAAAAGCTCATATAATGGCATTTATCAAAATTAAGAAACATGGTTCTCTAAAGACCAGTGATAAAGAGCACTTGAGAGAAATTGAGAAAAAACTAAACAATCTAAAATTTATTATTTTATATCAACGAAAAAGGATTCTTTATTTTCTCATAGATTTATAAAACAAACAAATAATCAGACGTCAACTTGACCTTAGCTTTTCTGTTCAGAGCGTACTGATAGAGGCAATAGATTTGTAATAAAGTATAGTATTTATAGTATAAATAATTTTTTATATTTTTATTATTGAAATTTTCTTTACATTTTTGTAACATAAAAATCTATTGTAATAACAAGCTGAATAAAATTTAATTTTTCCACGTCCATTGTACTCTTGATGGACTTAATTTAACTGTTCCAAGTAAAATTGAATTTTTATAGTTAAATTGAATTGTACGTTTTTCTAATCAAATTGTATTATTTCCAATTAAATTGAATTTTTTCTTGTTTGTTTTCAATTTCAAATCGAACTTTCTCCAAACAACCGAATATTTCAAGATCTATTTAGTTTTCAAAAACAAATTGAATTTTTTTCTCAGCCAAATTAAATTTTCTCCATTATACTTGCATGTATTTTTCCAAATCAAAACGAATTTTTCTTTTAGAGCAAATAAATTTTTCTGCACCAATCTAATCAATACCGATGAAATCTACGTTCCTTTTTCCAAAAATAAAAAATAAATTTGTTTAGATCATATTGAACTCTATCAATACTGAACGTTTTCTATAACAAATTGAAATTTTTCTTAGTTAAAATACATTTTTTATTCAAATTTAACACTATCGAGAGTTAATGGAACTTTTTCTAGGCCAACTTTTTTACCAATAAAAACATATCTTTAAAGATCAAATTGAACGTTTTCCAAATTAAATTCAGTTTTTCCAAACGAAATTGAACTTTTTCAAATCAAATTTTTGTTTTTCAAAATAAAAAAATATTTTTAAAGATCAAAATTTAATAGAAATTAGAAATTTTTACATTTTAAGTTGAGCTTTTTCCAAGTCAACTGGAATATTTTACAAATCCAATTGAACTTTTTCTAATTAAAATTGCATTTTTTCCCAAATAAAAAATACTTTGTAAGATTAAATTGAACTTTCAAATTAAATTGACCTTTTTGCATATAAAATTGAGTTTTTTCAAAGTCTAATCGAACTGTTTACAAGTTACGTTTTAATGATCAAATCGAAATTCTGCATATCAAACAACACTTTTTTAAGCTTTTCCACATCAAATTGCATTTTTGAGACCAAATTGAATTTTTCAGGTCAAATTGCACACTTTTCTAATCAAATGAACTGTTTCTAGATC